AGTGGTGGTGGTGATGGTGATAATGATGATGGTGGTGATAATGATGGTGGTGATTATAATAATGGGGTGATGGTGGAGATGGTGGTGAGGATGATGATGATAACAGTGGGGATAGTAGTGGTGGTGGTGATGGTGATAATGATGGTGGTGATTATAATGGTGATGGTGGAGATAGTGGTGAGGATGATGATGATGGCAGTGGTCATAATGGTGATGGTGATAATGATGGTGGTGATTATAATGGTGATGGTGGAGATAGTGGTGAGGATGATGATGATGGCAGTGGTCATAATGGTGATGATGGTAACAATGGCGATGATAGCAGTGATGATGGGAGCGGTAATCACCCTATGTCTCAATCATAAGCTGTTGTGGGGATTCAGTGAGGAAGATTTGGGGAATCCTTGGGGAAAATCCCTGGCATGGAGCAAGTACTCAATGAAGATTACTTTCTTCAGCTTTACCTGATAGGTGATTTCTATTATTGAAAGTCAATTGTTTAAACCAATGCTTCTCCAATTTTAATGTGCACTTGAACCATCTGGGGATCTTGTTAAGATGTAAACTAGGACTCAGGTGGTGAATTGTAGGATCAGAGGTTCTACATGTCTAAGGAACCTCCAGGTGACTCCCCACATTTGAGTAGCAAGGGATCAGACCATGGGAAACCACATCCCAGTGTGGTACGAGGTTCTGGGCAGATAGCTGGAGTCCAGAGTGGGATTATAATGTGAGTGGTCTAGGACAAGGAACTTCCCCACTTGGGGCCTCTGATCTTTAGCTGTTAGATCAGTGAGTGGATTTCTGGAAGCTCCTTAGATTCTGACATGCTCCTAGATTCTAAACTTTAGGATATAAGAATGTTAGGGTTTTGGCACAAGGCATTGATGTGTTCTGAGCTGTGCAGAGTCTGTGGAGCTAAAACCTTAGTTCTAAGATGCTGCGGAAGCTGAAGAACTCTCCTTCATGAAAAGGCCGCTCATATTAGCAGGGAAAGGCAGATGGCCTCAGATCCCCACCAACCTTCTCCTTTCTCCAGAATGAAACCAGATTTGTGAATGGAAGAGCCATTCTGCAGTGGGACATCTTTGCCTCCAATGGGATCATCCATATCATTTCCGGGCCTTTAAAAGCACCCCCTGCCCCAGTGGTGAGTAGCTAGGATTGCTGATGAGGGGCCAAGAGAATCCCCAGTGTCCACTTCCAAAGTAGAGAACTTGCTGGAAGCCCCATCTGTCACCCTCCTCCTGTGGAGACTGAACGAGCCTCTTGCATCCAGGACAGCTGGCTTCAGTGACATCCAGCCCTGGGTCAGCTCACGCCCACCTCATCCTATATAGCAGCAATGAGCACCTGTCAGTATTCATCAAGTGGAAGAGGCAGAACAGAGCAATGGCGGGGGAAATCACTACAAGGAGACTAAGAAATCCTGGCTTTAGTCCTGGTCCCTCTGATTTGCAGCTGTGTGACTCAAAAAATCTCTGAGACAGCTTTCCCCTTTGAAAAACAGAGACCATAATACCTTCCCCCTGGGTTCCTGGGAGGACTACAAGTTAATAAATAACACAACCTTTAGAACAGCACCTGGAACAAAGTTGTTAAGATTTTCATTTTCTCAAAAAACGGTGAGAGAAGAGTGAGCAGAGCCAACTCTGGAAAGTCCCAGAGCCTGGTCATTAACAACATAAGCTCTTGTACCAGCCTCAGTTCAAAGCCTACCTCTACCACTCATTGGCTGCGCAATCTTCTTCAAGGATTTAACCTCTCTGTGCCTCAGTGCCCCATATACAATGGGAGAGTAGCTATAATCCCAAAAGTACAGGGTTCAAAATCCACCAGCTGCTCCACAGAAGAAGTATGGGCAATCTCCTTCCATACACTTTACTGCCTTTGAAAACCACCTGGAGAGTCAGCTATGAGTTGGTTTCAACTCTGTGGCACATTAAACAACGACAATCCTGCCATATTGATGTAACAAAACAGCCCATTCCAAGTGAGATTATAACCACAGGAACTAAAAACCAAACAAAAATAATGGGAGAGTAATCATTTTTCCTTTCTCTTTGTGCTTATTATTTCATATAAGGGCTTATTATAGTCCCTGGCAATAAATAGTAAAGGCTTGATAGTCATTAGCTATTTTCTCACTATTTTTATCCCTACTGACTCTGGGATGTCCCGGGCCAGCAAGAACAGGGTGGGCTCCATGAAGTGCACCTCTCTTTTGGGGAGTCACCTAGTCTTGGGTACTGACCCCTGCCGTTCTTGTGTGTAGAACTCGGCCCACGCTGGCTTGGGAACAGGGCTATCCTTTGCCATCATCCTGGTCCTCGGAGCCATAGCTTTTGCTGCATACTCTTACTTTCGGCTAAACCGGAGAACAGTTGGCTTCCAGCACTTTGAGGTAAGAGAGAGATGAATGGGAACGTGGCAACGTGGTTGTCTTCAAAATCCACCTCTCATTGTCATACAAGTAATGCCTACTCATATATTCCTTTTAAACAGTTCGTTCCTTTATCTGTTCCAATGCAATATTCATTATCCTCTCTTTTCTTAGTTTCTTCTCAACCCCTATGTCAGTCCTCTTTTAGAACAGTGCTGCTATATGGTTTTTGTCCTTTTGTGACTGAGATATTCCACTCAGCATAATGTCCTCCAGAGTCACCCATGTTGTGTAATATTTCACGAGTTCCTTGTTTTTCAGTGCTGCGTAGTATTCCATTGAGTGAATGTACCATAGCTTTTCTACCCATTCATTTGTTAACAGGCACTTAGGTTGCTTCCATCTCTTTGCTATTGTGAGTAACACAGCCAGACGCTGGCTCTGGGCTTCTTCGTGGCTAGACAGTGCAGAAATGCACCAGAGAGCTGGGTGCAGAGCACAGGACAGGGACCGCCAACTGTTACACACATCCTGCCTCTCTGTCCCCAAGAGAAGCAGCAATGGCAGCTCCAAGCCCCTCCTGCCGGGCTGAGAGGGAGCTGTGTGAATGAGGGTGGTGGATGCCAGCAGCAGCCCCTCTTGACTACTGAGTGGGGTTGCAGGAACTGTAGAGTCACCCTCATCTTGGAAGATGCACCAAACAAGTGACCACTATGACTGGCTTGACATCATGCTTGACTCTGAGAGTCAGAGGACCAGGTAGGGGTGGTTCGCACTGAAGCCAGCAAAGCACATTTTTGGCCTGTTTGAATAGGGGAGCTCACATTCAGGTCTATAGGAAGCTCATGGTTGTATGTGACTCTGGAGACAGGGCCCAGGAGTAGCAAAGCAACCTTGTGTCCTCTCTCATCCTCGTCTACCTCTCCATCTGTGTCTCAGCATCAGTGTCTCAGCCCTAAGCAGCAGTTCACACACCACCTTACTAACTCAAGAAAACCTGCATATTTAACAGTCCCAGGAATGATTCTACAAACATACTTAGCAAAAGTCTAGACATGGATGCTTCTTTATGTATCAGGTTTAGGGACAGAGGCAACCTCTCTAGGGTGAAAGAAGAAAGAATGGTTGATACTCTGTGTGTTATGAGGGTCTGATGATTTTATTGTTGTTGTTGTTGTTGCCAGAGAGTCAATTTTAAATTCATAGTAACTCTGGGACACAGTAGAACTGCCCCAGAGGGCTTTCTATGCTGTAACCACTATAGATTTTTTACAATCCATTTGGTCAAGTGCCTAGGCTGTAATTGCTATAAATCTATATTGATTACAGCCTAGGCACTTAATCATGTGGGTCATAACAAACTGTGGATAACACTGGGAAGAATAAGAATTCCAGAACTCTTAATTGTGCTTATGCAGAAGCTGTACCTGGAACATGTACAAGTAGTCATTCGAACGGAACAAGGGAATACGGCATGGTTTAAAGTCAGGAAAGGTGTACCAGGGTTATAGCCTTTCTCCATACCTAGTCAATCTGTATGTTGGGTAAATAATTTGAGAAGCTGGACTTTATGGAGAAGAACACAGCTTTAAGCACCACAACAACCCAACTGCAAAATGGGCACCAGATATGAATAGACACTTCACCAAAGGTAGTCAGATGGCAAACAAACACATGAAGAAATGTTCAAAATCCCTAGCTCTAAGAGAGATGCAAATCAAAACAACTATGAGATATCTCACCCTAGTAACAACAGCAAAGTTCAAGAGAGCAGCAAACAACAAATGCTGGCGAGGTTGTGGAGAAATTGGAAATGAAATATGGATTTCATTTTACCTGGATCCACAATGTCCACGCAAGCAGCCATCGAGAAATTAGGACTTTCATTGGTAAAACTGGCTGCAAAAGACCTCTTTGAAAAAGCAGTTACTTTGAGGTCTGAAAAAAACAGTCTTTAATAAGGGAGCTCTGGTAGCACAATTGTTAGGTGTCAGCTGCTAACCAAAAGGTTGGCAGTTCAAATCCACCAGCAGCTCCACAGGAAGAAAGACCTGGTGGTTTGCTCCCACAAAGATTACACTTAGGAACCCTATGGGGCAGTTCTACTCAGTCCTGGAAGGGCACTATGGACTGGAATGCACTTGAGAGCACTGAGTAACAACAATCCTTACAGGAGCAGAATCACCAGGACTTCCTCTTGAGGAGCCTCTGGGATTACTGCTGCGAGATGAAGCGCTCTGGCAGGGTAGACCCAAGAGGTACACATAAGAAGCCACAGCCACAGGAATGAACACAAGAGTCAGATCTGACATATCTTGCTGTGTGTAAATCATCTCTCCATAAAGTAGTAGACCCAAGACATACATATAAGAAGTCACAGGGATGAACACAAAAGTCATGTATCTGACATATCTTATTGTGTGTAAATCATCTCTCCATGAAGTAAAAGCTTTCCAGAGGGAGGTGGGAGTGGCTCACATTACCAGCCAGCTTGGATGCACTCGTGCCCCAGTGTCAGTTCTGGCTCTCAGCCCTCATGCTTGTTTCCCGACAGTCAGAAGAGGATATCAGTGTTGAGGCTTTTGGCAAAGAGCAGCCTGAGAATATCTCGAACCCCACTTATGAAAGTACAACTCCAGCTCCACCGGCAGCTTCCTACGACCCCTTCATGGTGAGTCTCCATTATTATTTTATTTTGGGTGCCAAAACCTGGAAGAGTATCTATCATTATGTAGGCACAGTTAGGATACAGAGGAATGATGTTTTTCAGCAAATGCCAATGGCAAGCTTCTGCACCAAGAAAATCCTGTTCCGGAATGTGTCTCAGGACAGCCAGGCTAAGAGTCAATGGCTAGAGCTGATGGGAGCCAGCTTGGCTGTCAAGAGGTCCTTGGTTCTTTTTGGCAGATGGTAGATTGTTATGAGTTGCTCTGAATCCGGCAAACTTAGGTATGTTGTTGTTGTTGTTGTTCTGTGCCATCGAGTCGTTTCCAACTCATAGCGACCCTATGCACAACAGCCCTAAACCCTGCTCTATCCTGCGCCAACCGCACCGCCTCTGACACAC